GTGTTCGTTGGGAACCAAATTTCTCATAAATTTGGTCTTACTAATATTCTTGTAGACATTTTGTTGTGCTTCACGCAGATCGTCGGTAATAAGTAGTAAGCATATTGTCGGCAAAACGCAGATGATTAAGCATTTCCCCATCTATTTTTATTCCTCTTTAGATGAAGGCTTTAGATGAATTTCTCTGGCAGTGTCATGTAGTTTTACAGACATTGTGACGTTTTGGTACAATGTTTGTTCTAACTTTGTAAGCCAATAGTCTATTCTACTATGGTTCAGAGCAGTTATAATGCTGTCTAATTCCATAGTATCGATGGCTTTGTGAAAGTCTACGAAGATAAGTACCAGTGATCTGTTATATTCTATCGATTTTTCTATTAAGGTTTTTACTATTTGTAGGTGAATGCTGTTTTGAATTTGAGCGGAAGCCAGATTGTTCTCGGAGATGGTAGAAATCCACCTTTTTAACTAGTCTTTTCGTATTTATTCGGGTAAACAATTTATAGATGTGGTTCAATACGCTTATTGGTCTATAGTTTTCTAGATACGCCTGTGTTTTCCTTTCTTGTATAGTAAAATTGTTACTGCTTAATTCCATGTTTCCGGTATGCATCAATCTGTTAGACCAAGATTAAACAAAATTTAAATTTGATTAAGAAGGCACTTGCGCCCACCTTTATAGCGTCTATTACGACTTCATCCTCTCCTAGTGCTTTGTTGTTTTTCATCTTTTGGCATTGCGTCTAATTTAAGTTTGGCTCTTACCATTCTATGATCGCTGCTTGTGGTAAAGCTATTAAGGACTGTGACATTGCTGAATATATGTTTTTTGTCACTGATTTTTTATTTAGTGTCTTTAAAATTATCACCCAGATCATATTTCTTAGTTGTAGTTGTTAGAATTCCATAAAGGTAAACTTAGATCTACATTTTCAGTTCATTGATGTAATAAAAATTCTGCCGAACATTACTGCAACTGAATATTAAAAAGTTGTTAAATAATGATTTATTTATACTTTGTCAGCTACTGTTAATAGATACACGTATTCAAATTTTTGATTATGATAATTTTTGTTTTATTTATCATTCATATCAAAACCAAATATATGATTATGTTTGGTGCATGGATTCAGTGTCCGCAGTCATATAAACCAAAACAAACAAATATTATTATGTTCGAACGTCATTTTGTCATTTTGCAAAGAAAATGAGACTATACATCATACGCTACCACTTCTTAGATCTCTTGGAATAAAAAGTCTAACTAATGTTTCCAAAATCACTCTTTAGTGGTTCACCTGATTTGGTTACGAAGAACTAAATAATTAACAAAATTGTTTTTTATTGTCCTCTGGTCTGATTGGAAAATTTTCCAATATGAATTGCTTTCAGCAAGAGCTCAAAAACCGCAAATGTCTATTTTTCGAAGGAAAGATTATAATTGAATATCTTATTTGAGAAATAATCTAAGTTACATTCGGACAGTTTGCAGGAGATGAAAAAAAGCATTTTGAGAGTTTAGAGCTGAACATTTTCACTAAAAGTGAAGTTTAAAGTTAATAGATTATACCTGATGTAAGAATTTATCTTACAGAAAGACACAGCTTAAGAAATACAATAAGAAATACAGTTAAGAAATACTTACAGCTTAAGAAATATAATAAGAAACGAGGAAGTTCGTAGACGAACCGGAGTGGAAGACATTATCGAACATATTACAAGCCAAAAATGGAGATGGGCAGGACATGTTGCAAGAATGAAAGACGACAGTTGGACAAAAAAATTGCTTGAGTGGAGACCACGGACTGACGAGCGAAGCCGAGGAAGACCTCCAACGCGATGGACCGACGGACCTCAAAAGAATCGTGACCAATTGGATAGCAGAGGCGCAGAACAGAAGCAGATGGAAAAGTCTAGAGGAGGCCTAGGTTCAACAATGGACAACTCAGGGCTGGATGATGATGATGATGATGAAAAATTTATCAAAAACAAAAGCATTCTAAATCGACACTAAAACTCTTTGAATTAACATGTATTAAAATGGACTTGGATTGTATTCAGTAAGAATATGTGAGGTTTCTCAAAACAAAAGTATTTATTACTAAACAATTTTAATATCACTACAGTTTATTTTGTGACTTCCTTTGGATTTTTTCTTAGTTGCTAATGTTTGAAAATATTTCGTAAAATGGTTGGAACGATTCCTTCACCATTAAAGCAGTGTGGTCAAATTTTCTTTTTTGGCCTCTTATATTGAAATTTATATGCCTGTTAAATTCGCATTTAACCGTGACATTGCTTGTTTTTGGAATGAAAACATGAAGGTACTCCAAATCGCCCAATTAATGTATTTACTAGCTCGAATACTGCCGGGAGCATCAACGCTGTAGACAAAATGATGCAATTTAAAAATTTGTTGGTCCCTTGTTACTTCTGTATCTCTGTCGACGCACATGCAGACTTATAATACCAAGGCTACCAGCCTTTAAAATTTATAATACTTTTCCTTTTAATTTCACAGACCGTGAATAGGTTTTTTACACTTGCGGTAACAATGATCTCTGTGTACTTGTTGGATGTAATAAACTCGGTCAAATTTTCTGAGGTTTCTTTTAATAACCCCAAAAACACGGTAACGTGGAAGAAAAAAATGACCTCGAAGTGAAAAAATTGTTAAATTTTTTGAAATATCTGCCTGTGTTGATTAAAGCCAAGCACAATCTTGTAACGCAGTGGTTTTTGTTTTGACCTGGACAATTGTCAGAAAACAGGTGTAGTTCTTTTACATCTGTTCCAATATATTTTTCAATATAATCTAGTTGAAAGCTGCAGACTTCATTCGGACTGTTTCGTGCTTCTGTTTCGTGGTAAATATATTGAACAGATTTTCGTGACTTAATATTGGTTGATGCAGAAAACATTACCGGTAAGCTGCGACAGATAAAAATAGGTTTTGTAATTAATTGCAGTAGAGTTGAAGAAAGTTCTGCATAAAATCGAAGGTGATTGCTTTTACATCTTTCTCTTTAAGGGATTCCTCAACTTGATCATGTAGGGCAATATAAAATTTTTTACTTCCGCGGGAGTGACGGACTTTTTCGACAACCGCTACTTTTTTTGCTGCTTCACCAATTAGGGATTTTAATTCTTAAATTAAACTTCTCACAGATATTGCATTGCCATTTGTGCCTACCCTAATTTTTTAGGTTAAAATTTTCATGAAAAAATTTATTGTAGTAACTGTATTTTACTGTACTCTCAGGATACTTTTTAATAAATAATTCGTGCAATTATTTTATATTAAGTTTCGCATCTAAGTACTTAAATTAGTTACCAGAGTAATGAGACACTTTGACTGGAAATGTAATTATGTGGCTACGAATAAGTTCCCTAGTTCCAGCATCAATAATGTTTCCTTTTATATGTTTCACCTTTTATCTGTAGGTATCACACCACATATCACAAAGTCTTTTAATTCTCTTTAGCCTTTCTCTTTCCAATTATGTGAAGATATTTTTTAGTCTGATCAAACAGTAACAAAGAGCTTTAACCTTTTCATTACGTTTTCTTTCTTCTAGACACCTCCATTACTTCTATTAATCCCTGTAGATATAGTATATAATGTTCGTTTTTTTGTTGTACATACCGTAAAGGTTACCAAAAATAAGTTCCTTTGTATCTTCGTTACTTTTTTTAAAACATTTGAGTAGACACCTAGAAGTATGTATTTTACAAACTCAAAAATATTACATTTTTATTGTACTTACTTGCACTGAGGCCCTATTGGCTTGCTTCCATGGCCTTATTTTGTAAGCATAATATATGTTTGCCCTTTAAACTCTGATAACATATCAAGTTTCTGATAAACATTACGCTGATATTCATCCGATTTCCTAATTTCCTTACGCCTTTTAGTAGTAGGCTCTCCATCCTTAGCGTTTTCAGCACTGGTGGTTGGTTGATCATTGTTCATAATAATATTAAAATATAACGTTTTTCTTTCCAATACACAGACAACTTTTTGTACGCAGCAACAAGAATAAACAATAGAAACACTATGATTTTTGTAGGTTTTGGTGAACGTCGATATGCAAAATGACAACAATTTATTGCAGAAACAACCTTAGTCCAAGACTAAGGTAGTTTCAGAAACATATGAATATTTAAATGGATATAAAATTAACTATGCTTATATAAATATAATCTTGCTGATATACACCATCTCAAGAAAAGTACGTTTATGTTTCTTTCATGTGTTCAATATTTTTGGACCATGAAAATTCAATTGGGTATTTTAAGCAACTTGCTGTGCTAGGGCACATGAAGGTTTAAAAAGTCTACAATCACTTTTGTGAGATATGATACGACCAGATAGATTTCTACCAGTCCCACCAATATAAACGAATCGCAGTGTGTATATGATACGGAGTATATTTTATAACAATGCATATTTTAAGAATTTTTTTCTTTAATTTATAGTTTTAATATTTTTGATTGCCATCTTGAATCTCTTAAATTCGCTGAAAATCCCTTTTAAATGTTGTAGTTAGATGAAGTATAAATGGAAAATATTAAAGACTTGGATTTTTTGCAGTGGTATCAAATGTGCGTTGAAAAGATGATAAGGTTGATTGTATTTTTCTTCTTATATATAGATATTAATATATATAATAATATATATATATATATATAAACGCAATAGAGTAATGTATTTAGCAATTGGAGCGTTAATGAATTTGTCCAATAAGTGATTTTCGACCAGCCAAAAAGAGCTTTTAAAAAATTACTCTTTGAATTAAAAACACTTTAGGTAATTATATTTATTATATCAATTAAATAATTTGTCACTATTTACATTTTCACTATATTTAAGATGCTAATTATTGGTATTGTGGTCTATTCTATTCTTAGCTATAATAAAACAAACAACTTTAAACACAATGTGTTAATTATTCGTACAATAGATTTTATCGTCTAACATCACTTTATTTTTTTTGCAGAAAATGAGCAACTGTTCCGTGATAGTAAGAGACGTGTTTAAGAGTTACGGAAATAAAGAAGTATTGAAGAATTTTTGCATGACCGTGGAAAAAGGAGAAATGTAAGTACCTATTTTTAGTTTTTTTTTCATAGAATAAGTCAACGTGAAGTTGCAAAAATAAATTTTAGATCTTTTGAAAACAATAAAAATAGGAACGAAACTCACAAACTTAAAGATTTAAAAATGGCACATTTTTTAAAAATTACTGAGTTGCATTGTGTTTAATGTAAATAATGACAACTTTCTGCATTTGTTGTTACACCAAAAAATCCTTTTACATGCCTTAGACAATATGTCACCTATATGGAAGTACCGTACTTAAGAATCATCTTTACAAGCACCTATGAAGCTGTGACTGCTTTCTTTAACTAAAAATATTGAATATTTCTTTATCATTTTAAATTTATTTAAGTGAGCTGTCGATATATTTAATAATATTAAGAAAGTGTAATTTGAAATTCCTGGTTTTGTCCAAAACCTTTGATGTTTGAGGATGGCACGTTGTTGCTGCACCTCTGGCCTCCATGCCACCATTATCTATATGTAATTGTGGTTTCACCACCAATATATTATTAATCCAATATAATCTGTCTAGTATTAAATTCCACATTTTTTTAGTGAATTGAATCTGAACGTTAGAACCTTGTTTAAGTTTATGCTTCTTTAAGAGGGGTTGCACTATTTTTTTGAGGGAGCTTTTGAGGGGGGCGGGTAACGTTAGTTGCGAATAGTGTTATTTTGGATTGTTATGCGGCTATAGAGCGGGGGTTAAGATGGTGGTGATGTAGAAAAGGAGCACCGTGAGAACAAAGTACCTCCAGTGTTACCAACCATACTAGGAACGGCTCTGAATTAGAAGTTTTTGGCGAGCAGTTAATTTATCTGCAATATTCGAGGATATCGTAATACTCATCAGGGAGTTCGTTTGCGAGTAAAGTGTAAAAGATTGGCTAGAGAGAATGAAACTTTTATTAGAGGGAGCCTGGTGAATATGTGCCCTCGACGGTAACAGGGACTCCTTAAAGTTTGCTTAGTTCTGTTGGAGCCAGCTATGATGCGGAGGACGTACTTTTGCTGAAAGTTCGAACTCTGTCCTTATTGATGTTATGTTCGCAGTTTATATATAGAAAAAATACTATAGAAATCTTAAATACATAATGATGAAACCTTAGACATTATAGTAGACTTATTTAACTTAGTATACATAACAGGACACAGACCGAAACAATGGTTACTTTCCACCTTTTGTGCTATCCCTAAAAATACAAACGCTAAATATTGCAGTGAATACAGAACAATATCACTAATAAATCACATTCTCAAATTATTCTTGAAAATAATACATGGTCGTATAAATAAAAAACTGGAAGAAACAACAGATAATAGTCAGTTTGGATTCAGAAACGGACTAGGAATTAGAGAAGCGTTATTTGCTTTTCATGTGTTAGCTGAAAGATGCATGGATATGAATGTTGATGTGCATGTTTGTTACATTGATTTTGAAAAAGCATTTGACAAAGTAAGACATGAAAATTAGTCCGAATTCTAAAAACAAAAAACATAGACCATAGGGACTTTCGAATAATAACAAACCTCTACTGGAATCAAAGAGCACAAATCGTAATAGATAACGAACCCAGTCCAGAAATTGAAATCAGGAGAGGAGTTAGGCAGGGATGTATTATATCCCCATTACTATTTAATGTATATAGTAAAGCCATTTTTAAAGAAGCATTACTATCTCAAAGTGAGGAATAGTAATTAACGGAAGATCTATTAACAACATAAGATATGCAGATGATATCGTGATTATGACAAACTCTGTTGAACAACTCCAATTACTGCTAAACAAAACAAACAGTGAAAAATATAGACTAAAAATGAATATGAAAAAGACCAAACATGATAATAACAAAGAAAACAAATATACCAACAAACATACCTTTGGGAAATATACCGATAGAAAGGGTTGATAAATAAAAATACCTAAGAATCTGGATTTCAGACAATAACAATCAAACAACCGAAATAAGAGCCAGGATAGAAATAGCAAGAAATGCGTTTGTAAAAATGAAACCAATTCTCTGCAACAAATACCTTAGATTAGAACTGAGAGTATGAGCACTGAGATGATACGTGTTTTCGATACTGCAATATGGACTTGAAAGCTGGAAATTGAAGCAAAAACACATAAATAAGTTACAGTTCTTTGAAATGTAGTGTTACAGGATAATGTTTAGAATAGTATGGACACAGAAGAAAACTAACACGGAAGTATTGCGAGAAATAGGCAAAGAATGCGAAATAATAAACAATAAAAATAAGAAAGTTACAATATCTGGAACACGTAATGAGGGACGGCAATATGAACTGCTAAGGCTGATAATACAGGGAAAGATAAGATGAAGAAGGAGTATAGAAAACATCAGGATGGTAACTGTCAAAACTCGGGTTTGGATATTCTCCCGGTTTGGCGTTTTGGTTTTGGATAGGTTGTCTTTGGTCTACGTCTGTTGACCTCCACACTAATGTGTTAGGTGTTGTGTGTGTGTGTGTGTGGTGTGTGTGTGTGTGTGTGTGTGTGTGTGTGTGTGTGTGTGTGTGTGTGTGTGTTTGTGTGTGTGTGTGTGTGTGTGTGTGTGTGTGTGTGTGTGTGTGTGTGTGTGTGGTGTGTGTGTGTGTGGTGTGTGTGTGTGTGTATGTGTGTGCATTTATGTTAGGTGTGTATATGTGTAATCTACACAACCTTACAGTAATGACATAAGGCAGTCACTATATTATGTTGACACTTGTCCTATATGTCCTAATAAGGACGCCCCCTTAATATACAATGTATCAGGGCACTGGATTAAAAGTGTAAACATTTAAGAGACAATAATAAGTACCTTGGGCATTTAAACAATTTTTGGCAACAAAATTAAAGATAAATAAACATTTACTTTATTATATTTCAGATATGGACTACTGGGAGCTAGCGGTTGTGGTAAAACCACGTTGTTAAATACATTAGTAGGACGAAAAAAGGTCGACAGTGGTGAAATATGGGTTTTTAATAATAAAGTAGGACACAAAGATAACTATGTACCGGGAAAGAAAATTGGATATATGCCACAAGTATGTATTCGAATATTTGTTTATTTAAATGTAAGGCTATCATTAAAAATAATAAGAATAGTTGGTAATGTATAATAAGAATACGTTTAAAATTTACTTTCTAGGAATTGTTAAATATTATGTTCATATCGGCTTAAGGCAGCTTTTATACGATCGTTATTGCCGTCGCGTTGACGACGCGACGTGGAAAAAAAGGCACACAATTTTTAAGTTACACGTGACTGTAATTGCGCCGTGTTCTTAACGCGGTTAAAAACTTATACTAAGCGTTTTAGGAACGCATTTCAACAGGTCCTGCAAGATAATGGGAAGAGGATCTGCAAGTCATCACAGATCACAGTCACATAACCGTATCCAAGAGCAAACCCACATAATACACAGACATAAACAATATGATACCAAAAATACTCGCCACACCAAAGAAAACACAAAGACACACGCACACAGAACAACACAATCCTACCCTGTCCACATCCATAGCATCTACTTCTTATTACGATCCTTTACCCCAAAATCCCTGCACCCACATACCCTTACAAACACAAAACACACTCTCACCAACATACACTTAACCAACCCCATTACTCATACATACACCCATACACACACGCACCACAGTACAACAAACAACACCTACATAACTACATCAACTTTTGTTTTAATGCTTTTTAAAAACGCTTATTAAGGTCCAGTATTACCTCTAGGCTGCAGTGATATGTACATATGTAGTGGATTTTTTGCCACATACCGTTTTTTTTTATACTAAGACTCGAAAAAACTGAACTTGATTAAAATGTTTTAGCTTTATCAGCTGTTGAAATTTAATCAGACACGTTATTCTCGTCAAACTTCTAAGCAACTTTCTTCGTAATAATTAAAAATCTTCTTATAAAATAAAACTTATTATGGTATTATCCTGATACAACCGCTAAAAATGTATTGTTTAATGGCATATTTATTGTAGGATGTAGCATTAGTGGGAGAATTTACAGTAAGGGATGCAATTTTCTATTTTGGCCGAATCTTTGGCATGAAGGAAAGCCGTATAGAAGAACGACTTAGGGAATTGTCAGAGTTTCTTAATTTACCACCGGACAATAGGTAATTATATTTTTTTTATATCGGAATTGCTATTTACAATTGTTTACTAAATTTTTCTTTCTTCTTATTGATTGGTTTATAAGTATATTTATTCTTTGGCGTAAGGATCATGTTTTGTTGAGTGAAAAACGCCATTTTTTACAGATATTGAAAGGAATGAAGCAGGTAACCGATTCGTCTACTGACAAAATGAATAAAACATATAAATTATAAATAAATTTGGCGTAACTTATGGCATCGATGGGTCATTGTGTAGCCTCCCAATTGGATGGTTAGGTCCTCCTGAGCTGCAGTTATTTCATATTATACTTGTGTGGTTCCAATTGGTCCCAATTAGGTGATTAGGTCCTCCTGACAGCTGCAGTTGTTCCATAAATTCTCAAATAAGCCAATACAACCAATATTACGGCCAATAAACCTTTTAAAGTTTCAACCTTTTAAATATACCTAGCTCTTTCAGAGAAGCAAACATACATAGATAGTGATTAGATTACTATTTGGTTAAGGTACGGTTTAAAGAAAGAAAGAATATCACTTCAAAAAAAGGAGAGAAAAAATAAATATTCATAAACTAAGTGTATATACAGAATAGGCATAAGATCAAATAAAAAACGTAGAAGAAAAAAAAAAAAGAATATTAATTAATTATATAATTAAATATTGTATTGTATAAATCGGATGAAACATTAGGTCAGGACATGAAAAAGAAGTTATTGGTTTGATAATGAATGCGAGTTGGCAACAAACAGAAAAAACGCAGCATATCAAAAAACTCAAAACAGATTACACATGGAGAAAAAAAGGAGAGTGTAGACACCCCAGAAGAGAGAAAAAGCGTATCCATCGACTTAAGGATAGGAAATATGAGCAGAAAACGTTAACTGAAATGTAAAGTTTATTTGATAAAAATGAAACAAGAAAATACTAAACATCACTAACTAGTAGCCGTTAAGATGTTGGCAATGATAAAAAGTCATAGAGATATTAACGATAAAATTCTATACGACACAAATTCAGTTTTTAATAGAGACACATAATGTTTCATCTTTCATATTATTTTAAATGATGTTGAATAAGACGATAGCTTTAAAAATCAACTAAAGATAAATCATCAATTACACAATGAAGCATCAACAAGAGAAGAAGTGTGAACCATAATAAGACAGATTTGGATATGGGACAGAAAAAAAAATAGACGTGCCAGCTAGATCAGCTGACCAGTTGTCTCCCAAAACGACGGGAGACAACTTGGTATCTTTCAGAAAAAAATATTTCAAATGATTTTTGAGGCCGTATACCAGCTACACACAGATTCTGCGAGCAGGACAAGATCCATAAATAATAGTCAAGCCAATTTTGAGGATGATGATGTGTCTTTCTTTATCATAAGATATTAAATTTATAATTTTTACAACGATCGTCTTTTCTTTGCTTAGTAAATTTAATTATAAACATTTTTCTAAACAGTTTCTTAGTTTTACAATATAAATATTCGTAATTATAAAATCAGATCATAATTTTACCATAGTCTGTTTATATTTTCATTTTATATATAAGAAATTACAATTTCTTTTATTTTTAAGGTTCATAAAGAACTGTAGTGGCGGGCAGCAGAGAAGAGTATCATTAGCGGTGGCCTTAGTTCACAAAGCAAAGTTGCTAATTTTGGATGAACCAACAGTGGGTATTGACCCGCTTCTAAGAGAAAAGTAAGTTAAAAATACCACTTATTTTATGCTCTTATAAAGATCTAAATCATTTTTATACCAGTTTATTACCAAAATCTACGTTTTGTCATAATATTGTAACTTATAGAATCACACTTAGAATTATCTCAGAACTATATTGGCACCAAACGGCAACAATCGAAATAAAGCACACAACAAAGATATAAGAATCAGATGACTAATGCAACAGAGTTGTGTTCTATAACCGATGTTAGGCAAACAGGATAAAGTTGTTTTATTTTTAGTAGCATTATGTAGCACTCAATAATTATACATTCTTTTCCATAGACAATGCCCTAATTTCCGATTGGCACTACATAACTATAGATATTAATATGCAGTATTTTTACATCCTAGGCCTCTTTTAACCCCATCTTTTCCTCTCCATGATATTCTAAGCATTTTAAGCATAATATCTTTTATGTTCATACTTCCATTTCGCATAACAGAATGTACCAAATGTAATACTTAAGCATCTCGTTGAATTCAAAACTTAAAAAGGTCCAAGAAAGGAATTATACCTTCTACCCTTCTTTTTATTTTAATTTAACTGGCCAAACGATCGTTTAACAGATATCCCAGATTTATATGTATTTAAACTACTTAATTTGCTCAATTTCTTCTCTTGTCATGTACATCTTTGAATTTGAAGAATCATTTCTACCTATAATCACCAAATATATCACCTATAAACCATTATACCTATAATCATGGATGTTTGGCGATGGGAATACCAAATGATAAAGAAAAAAGTGTGGCAGCGGGATGGGATTTGGCTGTCATTATTACGTTCTTTATGAAGACTAAAGACCAGTATAATACCTATAGTAGCAAGGGAAGGGAAAGTCGAAGAGATTTTGTGCTGTGTAAAATAAGTAAGTTAAACGAAGTTACAAACTGTAAACTGAGTCTGTAGCTAGTCAACACCGACCGGTGATAGTGGATATGGAGATGAAGGTGAGGCAGAAAGCAATGCAAATACGACACGAGTAAGTAAAGTGGTGGAAGTTAAAGAATGGATTGAGGAAAAAGATACAGTAAATGATTGGTGGAAAGCTAACAGTAAAGTTGTGAGGCAAGTGGGTAGGGAAGTGCTATGAAAAACATCTAGTAAAGGGCCTACAGACAAAGAAACTTGGTAGTGGAATGATGAAGTGCAACAGAAGGTTAGAGAGAAGAAAAAGGCTAGAAAGAGGTATGATAGGTCTAAAAGAGAGGAAGAGAAGAATATATACAAGCTAGTAAAGAGGGAAGCAAATCGCGCTGTAGCTACTGATAAGGAAAGATCGTCTGCATAGCTGCATAAAGAGATGGAAACATCCGAGGGGATAAAATGATTATTCAGCATTGCTAAAGCAAGGGATAAGTCATCCAAGTCAACTAATTCACGAAGAACGGTAAGACAGTAGGAGTAGATGGAATATCTGTAGAGGTTTGGAAAACTCTAGGAGAGAAAGGGGTTGATATTTTGTGGTAAATGATGAGTAGGATATATGGGGAAGAAAGAATGTCCGGTGCATGGAGAGAGTGTATTCAGGACTGTAAAAACTATAGAGGGATAAAGTTTATGTCGCACACAATGAAAAACAAGAGCTGTAGAGACGTATTAAAGAGAAATGGATTCCTAAGAAGTACGTAAGGCTTGTGAAGAATATGTATGAGGGACCGTACACCAAAGTAAGGAATGCTGTCGCATTGACCGAAAATTTTCCATTGATGGTAGGTTTGCATCAAGGCTTTTTATTGAGTCCTTACCTGTTTAATTTTGTTAGGCATATACTGACAGAGAAAATAAGGAAGGGGGCTTCTTGGTCAATGCTCTTTGCTGATGATGTCGTGTTAGTAGATAAGCGTAAAGAAATGTTGGAGGAGAATTTGGAGAAGGGTTATTGGGGAGTGAAAACTTAAGGTTAGCAGGTCGAATATATATATTTGGGAGGGAGTCGAATGGTTGGGGATATATAATAGATTGGAGAAAAGCTAGGACGAGTAGCAGAATTTAAATACCTTGGCTTCTACATAGCGGGAAAATAAGACACTAGATCGAGAAATTACCCACAGAGTACAGGCTGGTTGGTTTAACTGAAAGCGAATGAGTGGGGTTCTTTGTGATCGAAAAATCGGGGAAGGGCTGAATGGTGGATGTTTGGTAAGACTAGAAGGGACCAGAGAAGAAACGACTTGATTAGAGAAAGAGCCAGGGTGACTACAGTCTCAAAAAAGATTAAAAAACCAAGACTGCGATTGTTTGGTCATATCAGACTTAGAGATGAAAACTAAGTAAAACGAAGGATAGAGCGGTAAAAAGTTGATGGAATGATAGGTAGAGGAAAACTGAGGAGAAGAAGAAAGAACTGTGCGGTTAAAGAACTTAAGAGGGTTTGGGTAAAGAAGAAAGATGGAGAAAAATGAGTGGCGACGAAGAGTAAGGAGAAAAGCTGAAAAAAAAAGAAGATTTCTACCTATAATCATGGTTTTCGTCTTTTTAATAATTCTGAGAACTTCAAGCTTTACTTTTGAAAGTTAGTTCGATTAAAAGACATTAAAGTTGTTCAGAATCATTTAAATATCTCTAAAATTAAACTACATTCGTTATAATACAGTTATTACTAACAAGTTTGTTAATAAGCTTTGATGTCAAGTATATACTATCCTCTGAAATACTTATGTTTTTAGGATTTGGTCTTATTTGGTAAAAATTACGAAAGAAGATAAAATATCCGTCATAATCACTACTCACTACATAGAGGAATGTCGACAAGCTAATAAGGTAAATCTAAAATACTTACAAATACAGAACAAATCTTACCTTATAGAAGATTATCTGATTAAGCATAACAGTCTAGAGGCCAGTTAGGTCACCATGGCCTTTTCAATTCTGAAAGGCCCACCCAAGTATCACACTGGTATGGATGCCAGCTCATCAAGGAATACATGACAGAGCAGATGAATTTACTATAAGAGGGTTATCTACAAAATACTAGTTCATAGAAAAAACCTTTCGTGTACCTAAAGCATCACAAAAACTTAATTTAATTTTATTAACCCTTTATTACTTACACTTGTTTTTTAATCAACTAGTTGCAAAACTACTTAACTTGTATTCTAGATTGGACTAATGAGAGAGGGAAGATTACTAGCTGAGGAATCTCCCACAACTCTTTTAAGACAATTTAATACGGATAATTTGGAAGAAGTATTTTTAACGTTATCTCAAAAGCAAGCAGAAGGACAATTGTCTTCACTTAACTTGAAGATTGGTGATGTGATTCACAAGAACGACTCAATGGTCTCAATATCTTCTTCTTCTCAGAGTATCCCAGACGGGCATGCATCTACTGATGTAAGTATAGAAACTGTATATTATTAGTTGTATTTTGCAGATTTGCAGTAAATAATAACCATTAAACAATAAAATGTTTTAGACTATACTTCGTTTAAAAATAATAATAATAGGACAGTTTTTATGACAAAAGGCTGACAATATTAGGGATATATACACAATCTATTTAGGCATACATTATAATCATCTTAAGATTTTTTTATTCGAATTAACGTGCCTTGGCGACTAACTAATTGACACGATCACAGTATAGTACAATATAAGGGGCTTACATATACAGTTTTATATTTGACATGAGGGTTTTTGGGTTTTGGGTTTTTTCTCTGGTGGTGGAAATATTAATTTCAGGGCTTTCTTGTTTTCCACCATCAGAGAAAAAACCCAGTACCTTCTGCTCGATTACTTATACAGGCAAAATATCAACTAAAATAGCCAAACACATAAAAAAGAAAGGAATAACAACAGCTTTCCGAACAAATAACAACCTAGACAAATATATCAAAAACAACAAGAGCCAAAATAAAAAACACTTACACAGTGGTGTGTAAAAACTTAAATGTGGCGATTGCCTAAAAACTTACATCGGTCAAACTGGTAGAAACTTTAATAAACGAATAGCAGAACATAAAAGGGCTTTCAATAATAGAAAAACAGATTCTACATACTTACTTCGCCTTCTACATCACAATGATTCTTTTAATGACGAATTTAAAATTCTTCACATTCAAAATAAAGCTATCCTTGTTAGAACCTATGGAAATCAACAAATTAAAAAACACAGATATAATTCTGAATGACCAACTTGAGACAAACAGTTCTCCCCTCCTCAACCTATTTCATTAGAGACTATAGAATTTAAACGCATACCAAAAATTGATCACTTGAGAAAGGCAATCAGCCGAAACACTGTAGTGATAAGTTAAAATAAATTGTGTGGAAGTTTGAAAACAAAGTGTTCAGTGTTTTATTGTTACATCAAATAGATTGGTTTGTTAGTTAACGAGTAATCTTTAAATGTTTGTAAATAGTTATTTCAGATATCAAAAGGTTAAACACTTATTTCTGCCTACAGTATGCATCTACGGTTATTTAACTAAGAGCCCGGATTGTTAAGTATTAAAGCTACAAACTAAAGTAAAAAAAGTCATAACATATGACATAGATCCCCATATTTTCTTTGGTAAATGGCGAATGTAGTGATGATAATTTTTCTATTTTGAGCAGTTCCGTATAAATAGGGTTGTAATATTCTACCATAAAACCTGTTCTATCATGTATTTCCAAATCGAGTGTAGTCAACGACAAGCATTGTTAAAAATTATTTATTTTCAGGAACTAATGAAGGAGCATAAATCTAGAAATAGTGTAATAAATAGGAATCGAATAAAAGCATTGTTAGACAAAAACTGTAAACAGTTCTATAGGAATTCACTGTAAGTATTTTTTAAAAAGATTTTAACTACTATAACAAAGTAAACTAACATACACAAGGAATCTAAATTACGGTAGTTGGCTGTATAATCACAAAAAATTTTATTTAAAATGTTCTTTTATAAAAGGTATAATAGTAAAAACGCTAAACGCTCCTTTCATATTACACGATTTTTTTTTTCATATATAGAGGTGAAAATGCTCAAAGCTCTGGAACATAAAACGCCCTGCAGTAAAATGTCCTTCATTCGGAGTTTAATGCCTTATTTGACAAACTATTCCAACGGTGAATTCCTTCTATTTCAAGTGGGAGTGTTAAACGTAATAGAAAACATAAACAAGCTAAAGGAAACTCCTCATCTTCAATCAAACAACCCCACTTCTGTGCCCTCTTATCAACCACCACCTCAGTACATGCTTCAGCCATCTCCCGTTAACCAACCGCAAACATTTGTCCATGTTCAACAACCTCCATTTAAACCTCAACAATATGCAAATCCTAGTTTTTCGGGCTACGTTAAAAATAGCGCATAACAGCTTCACTTTTCTCAATATGTACGTGAACAGCAAAATCAATCAAGGCCAACGCAGCAATCAACGCCTAAACAATCAGATTCACAATCCGAACTGGATAAAGCATCCGCATCTCAGTACCTACAGAGATTTAGTTACAGCGACTCTTCAGCAACTGAAACTGAGCATAGTCCGTCTATTTCGGCTTCACGAGATTCCTCGATGTCTGATCTATTTTGAGTGATTAAAATTAAATAAAGTATATTTGCTTATTCAAAAGGTTTTATTATATTACCTACTACTGTAATATTATGCTTACCTTAAACATATTGCCAGCATTTCAACAGGTTGTATACAGTTTCTAAACTGCGTGTTTTGTCGTTGTAGAACACTCTTCAGTTTCCCATGTAACTCATCAAAAGAGCGAACTGACATACCAAAGTAGTTGAAAAACTTTTGGTCATCGTTTCTAAGATCTTCAAATAATGTGTGGAACATCTCGACTTCCTCTCGTCTCTAATTAATTGGGTGAATCCAGCGAAGGCGATTGCGCCTTTATCTTTTCCGACGCCGATACAGTATCCATAACGCAATAACTTGTTCGCGATCCATAATTTTCATCCAGACCAGACCAAATGTTCCGATGAACTGATAAAAATGTACGATTTTTATCGTTCAATGTGAAGTAGCAAAACCACGATTAAAAATCGGGCGATTATTTCCCGCATGAGCGAAATCGTGTAATATGAAAGGAGCGTAACGAGCTTCGTCACAGAACGTTTTCATGGAAAACTGGATGGAAACACTTTAACTAAATCAAACGTGAAAGTTAAGCTTTTGACCAAGGTTATTACTTACTGGATATACATGTTTGAAGCCACTAAATATATGGGTAAAAACACTTTAAATAAATGTAGTTTGATTAACTAAAAAACTATAATGTTAAAAGTAAAGATAGTTCAAGCACTTCTGACCATGCAGCTGCGCGAAGGCGGAGTCAAATTCACGTAAAGGCAGAAAGGTTCTATTGTAAGTGGAATTATACAGTGCATAGTACAATGCGTTTCGCACGGAAGTGGGGACTAAACCAAATTTCGTCTACTGCGGCGTAGTCAAGAGCGCTTGCACGCACTATACAATAGAAATTGATCACATGACAACGTAAGACTCCACAGGAGTTGCTAGTCCTTAGTGACCTTTGTTTTAACGTGGATAGTAATATACGTTTTCACTTTTAGTTCCGTTATAATCCTCGTGGGCTAACACAGTTCTGGTTCAAGTCACATTAGTGTAATGACCAGTTATTTAAAATTTATAATAAAGGCGGTACTAATAGTACTATCCCACCAGGAGTACTGTACTATTATTATAATTCGTTAGTGTAAAGGCGGAACTGGTTTGTTACTAATTGGTTTTTAAGTACTTCCTTTTTATTTCTAGATTTGATTTGACACAATTTGTAAAAAGTTACAACCTTATGATTCATTAAGAATTTATTGGACGTGAGAATTTTGAAGGTTTGGCCTGTACATTTTTTGTGTTCTGTAGTAGTTGAATTTATAAAGGAATAAATTCTTGTATAGGAGCAATCACGGAGTAACGCATTATGAAATTAGATAATCGTAGGCGACTTCTCGTTGCTTCGTAACGCAATATTTTTACTATCACTTATCATTTTTAGTTTTAATTTGTAAAGAATAGATCAGAAATGATAGATTACATAAAATATTCGGTGTCCCGAAAGTATAATGGCACGATTGTAAAATTTTGAAAAATGACTTTATATTATTGGAGGGATCAAAACTGCATTATCTATATATTTGTAAATCGTCATAATTGTACTTATGAAATCTTCTCTCATTGCGAAATTCTAATTTTTATCTATTTTTGGTTTCGCCAGATGCCGGGTTAAATACCCAGTTAATTGATCTGGTTTTGCCAAGGTGTAAACATTTGAAAAATACTCTTGTAAAACTTGTGAAAAATTTAATTTCTGAGTTATACCGTGCAAGAATGACTGCTTTAGTAGAAGAAGGCCGTTCATAGAGGTTCGCGGCAGAAAGAGTGGGTGTATCTCAGGGTGTTGTCTCAGTTTGTTTATGATTCGTATAATTTATAGGTTATGTTGAGTGTTCTTTAATGTAACTCATTTATGGGCAACAACTCTAGCTACTGTTTCTATTTATGTGCAAAAATTCCACTCTGTCGATTTATAAATTGAGATAATATATACAGTCCGTTTGTTACATCTCCGTCCATAGTCCGTCAAACTATAAATCTAGCTTTACTTTTGAATCTATGTGAATTTTTATACTGGTTAGCTATATTTTAAATATTTATTTTTTACTTATTAATTTTTTCACTTAAAAAAACACCGATGGTAGAGGAAGTGAGCCAAATATGGAATATGCTCTTCATATGGAATACCGTATTTTCTAGAAAAGTTAATCGGCAACGTTGCATTTATCCAACCCAAAAAAGGTACCTTTGGCTGTAGTAACGTGACTGACAGCATTCAGTTCTGATCTAGTGTTTGTATAATAGTGTGAGTACAGTTGCCTTCAGAGTTATTTTAGATTCCGCGAGTTTTTTGTAGGTAAGTACTTTGAACAAGAATAGTATAAGTTCTGCATGAAATATAATTTTGGTAACACCCATCTATTATGTAATAGGCATGTTTTCTTAAACAAAAACTCTATATCTTTTTCGCATGTAATGATATTGTAGTTCGAAATTCAAACATTGTAGTGTGCCTAATATGAAATACTTGAGGGTATTAAATATGGAATATTCCATATTCGGAACATTTTTTTGTCATAATATGATATAACAAATATATCTATCTATTATGTTACTTATCGAGTTTCGTAATTAGTTTGGTTTGAAGACTACATTTCTATTTGTTGCAGGAAAATGCCACAGAAGAAGAAAAGTGATAAACCCTGTAGAAAGTCGTGGAACAAAGATGACATGAAACGTGCTATTCAGGCCGTTAGGATCAAAGAAATGGGATATAAAAAAGCAGCAGACACCTTTGGAATACCCCGTACCACTTTATTTCGATTGGCATCTAAACCTAATGATGCTGTAGACAAGAAATTAGCTAGACCCACTGTTTTACCTAAAATTTAGAAACAAAATTGGTAGAATATTTACTTTTAATAGAAAAGAAGTTCTTTGGATTAACTAGAAGGGATGTTAAACATATGGCTTTCCAGTTAGCTGCTGCTAATAACTAGCCAAATCCATTTTCGAAAGAAACTGAAAGTGCTGGCAGAAACTGGCTAGATTTATTTCTAAAAAGACATAAAAGTGCGATTTCTATAAGAAAGCCAACCGGAACCTCAATTTATCGGGCTAAAGGTTTCAATAAGGAAAATGTTAGCCACTTCTTCGATCTTCTGGTGTTAGCATTCGAGAAGCATCAATATCCTGCAGATAGAGTTTTTAACGTTGACGACACTGGGTTGTCTATCGTCCCAAGATACAGTCTGTTCTGGCTTTGAGGGGTGCAAAGCAAGTTGGCTCGATAACGTCTGCCGAGAGGGGATCTCTAGTCACAGCTGTTTTATGCATGAGTGCAGGGGGAACTTTTGTTCCACCATTACTTATTTATCCTAGAAAGAATATGAATATTTTGCTACAAAAAGGAGCCCCTCCTGGATTAAAAATTGTGTGCCATCCGAGTGGCTGGATTCAAACGGAAATATTTACAGAATGGTTCCGGCACGTTATAGAAGAAACAAGACCATCACAAAGTGATCCAATATTTGCTAGTTTTAGATGGGCACCATTCGCATTGTCGCAACTTACAAGTTATCGATTTAGCAAGACAAAATTTTAAGGAGATATTGTGCCTGCCCCCACACTCTACCCATTATATGCAGCCGTTGGATAAAACTTTCATGGGGCTTTTAAAATCTCACTATAGTGAGTAATTAAAAGTTTTTCTTCGAATCAATCAGAGGGCTGTCACACCTTTCGACATCTCTGAATTAATTGGTAGGGCTTATTTGAAAGTCCAAACTGGGGCAATAGCCGTTAATGGCTTAAGGAAAACCGGCATATATCCCACAAATCGCAATGTTTTCGAACACCACGATTTCCTTGCTGCTGAAGAGGCATCGCAATCTGACACTCCATTAAACGAAATTTATGATGAAAATGGGACTACTAACCAATCAAAAAGGAATACGTTTATGGAGCCTCATCAAATATCACCTTTGCCGACATTAAGTAAGAAAAAAGGACCTCAAAAAAGAAGAGCACCAGGAAAAGCTGCAGTTATAACCTCATCCCCATACAAAGAAAACCTAAATAATTCAATAAATTCTCCTTTATCGAAACAAATCAAAGAATATGGCAAAGCGAAATGTGATATTCGATCTATCCCATTCACAACCATCTTGTAGTGGTGTCAATATTCCCAAATCAGCGATAAAACGATCACATCGTAAAGAGTCCTCTTCATCGGAGTCTGTCGTCGAGAGTTTAGATGAAAAATCATCTGACGATAACATCACAGAAATAGGGATAACAGATCTAGGATATCCAGATGCAGTGTGCTTTCCTGTCAGCAGTGGTGCCATGTTGATTGCGCAGGGGCAGAAACGGAAATATTCATCTGTGATTTCTGCAAAGAAAATTAAAAAACTGCAAGGTACCTTTCTCTTAAAGATTTAAACCTATTTATAAGAATATGAAAAAAGTTTGAGTTGTCAATAAATATTTTTCCTATAATTTTGTTTTATTCCATATTTAGAACATACAGTGTTCCATATTAGGTGCATATTCCGTATTAGGTACAAAAACGTGTCAATGCAGTAAAAGTATTTTTGTGAAAAACTTATCGAATTGATTGAATCCTCAGATAATAATTCCGATGAACGAAATTATGATCCAATTTAGCTTAAAGAATTAGATTCATTTGATCGAAAACCACTTATTGACAGCAAAAAATAAAAATAGTATTCCATATTTGGCTCCTTTCCTATACAGGTTGCACTTTCGTAATACCTAAACGTTTACAGAAAAAATATAAGTTAAACAAAAACACATCTATTTTTACAGCTGAGGCAATAGCAATTCTAAAAGCACTAGAATATGTTCATCAGGAAGAGGATCAGAATGCTATAATCTTTTCTGATTCACTTTCCGTTTTTAAAATTTTAAAATCAAACTCAACTAATGATATTATTTTTAGCATCCAAGCAATACTTAAATAATTACAAGATCAAAATAAATATATAAAATTCTTCTGGGTCAAAGCACACGCAGGAATAACAAACAATGAAATTGCAGATCAAATTGCCAAAGAAAGCATAGTAATGGGGAACAAATAAATTACGAATTAACTACAGACGAACAAATAATCATAGCAAAACAGAGAATGATGAAGAAATGGTCCTATTTATGGCAAGAGAACAGCTTTACAAATCCAACACGTTACACCAGACTTAAAACCAAATTAAGGAGGAAACCTTGGTACAATGAGTACGATTACAGTCGAAAAAGTATAACTACTATCAGCAGAATGAAGTTTGGTCACGCATGTTATCCAGCACATTTATTTAAAATAAAAATACTTGGGAGTGATCTTTGCGAAGCCTGTAATAAAATCGGTGATCTGGACCACATCTTTTTTTATTGTTTAAAATATAGAGCTCAATCTAATGAGCTTTTCAGAAAACTTTTAAAATTAAACATTAAAAGCCCATTTATTATACTGCATCTTCTTGCTTTAGACAAATTTACGATTGTTTGCTGTGTTTCGTCAGAACAACGAATATACAAATATAACCACCTTTGTTAGTTTCTAATGTCTTTCCTTAATGTATGCATACCTATCTGTCGGAGGCCTACCTTTTATCGTTTATAAAAATGCCCTGATTGGTCTCTGGGCGAGAAGAGTGTAATCCCTGTGTAATCCTTGTATTTGTTTTTAAAAATTTGTGTCTGGCTGTGTGGGTATTTACCCTAAAGCCAATAAAAAAAATTTCACTTAGAAGTAGTTTGTCTTTAACTTACCATTTCTTCGTGAAAGGGTTCAAAAATTGGGTTAAGTGCTGGAAACTATTCTAATTTTAACATTAGCTTAAATTAACCCAGCGAAATAATATTTAATAATATATTCTATTTATTTTTTAACCATTTTTAGAGCCGTTACATTCTTATTAGGCATGCCTATACTTGAAATGCTCATGGTAAGGTATTCCTTAGGCCTTGATATGAGAAATATTGGTTTAGGTATAGTCAATAATGAGAACATGAATTCGACTTGTTTCAACTATTCATACAACGATACAGTAGAAGTAGAAAACAATGAATGTCATTTTAAAAACTTATCTTGCCGATTTTTAGAAATGTTAGATAATCATCCGATGATAAATAAGGTAAGGATATATTTGCAGTATTATTTTATTTATATCATGTAAATTAAGCGATTGATACCATTTTAAGACCAACTATCCTTAGCTATACATTTAAAAAAAGACAAACAATGTAGGTATATCAAAATCGAACATTATATAAATATAATATAAATATAATGCAAAGCTTTATTTAGGTTTGGCAATTTTTGTTGCGATATCCTCGACCCTTGTTTTATCTTACCCAGTCGTTTCTCTTTTTATCTGACAGTCGTATATTTAACATTGTCTTTTTCATTGCCCTTTCTGTTGTGACTGGTTTATTTATATTTACATATTTACCTTAGTTAGAGTCCAATTTTTTTTTATTTTTTTTTACTATTTAACTACAGTATTTTGTAGTTCTTAAATATCCAACTGAGTTTTCCAAATCATTGCAGAAGGAACTTACAATGTTGCTAATTTATTAAATCGTAAAACCTTTTTAGATTTATTATAATACTATAGAAGAAGCGAATTATGGTGCAAGTCATGGAGAGACATATGGATACATGTTTTTTCCAAAAAATTTCTCCTTTTCCTTAGAAGGAAGACTGAGAGATATGAGGTATGCTGAAAACTCAATTCTGGATTTTGGCCAAATCAAAGTTAGGTTAGATATGTCTAGTAAGTTATTAAGCTAGTCTAATTCTTATTACACACAGATATATTATAATATATATATATATATATATATATATATATATATATATATATATATATATATATATTTATATATATTGTGTATTTACATTTTTACATTTTACAAAGTTTGTAGATTCTTAATTAGGTAGTATTTCTTATGTTTAAGTTTGGAAGAATTTTTTTTTTTATTTAAAATTACAAACGATTCTTATTCTGATTTTCTTCTTTTTTCTTGTCTTATTTTTATAAGCTGTGTGCATAAAATTTGTACAATTGTCAGTGACAATAAAACATATTACTTATTTACTTACTGATTTATTTGTTTTGATGTTAAGGCTAAAAAATAACCAAAAAATTAGTTTTAGAGCGTTATAATAAATATACTCACATATACTTATATAAACATATTACCTATATATTGTAATTATATATATACGAATAACTATCTTTTACAGATCAACAAATAGGAACGACTCTAAAAAGTAAGTTGATAGATTTATATCTAGACTTTCAAAAGTCAGTATTCGTAGATTGTAAATATGAAGCAAAAGCAGCTGACATACCAATACAAACTGACTATATCTATGGGTACAAAAACGATCCCTTTCAAGTTTTCGTAATACCTGGTGTAATAATAACGTAAGTAAACAATAAATATTCTTCTTTTTTCTATCGGTTTACATCCCAAATTGGGACTTGGTGTCTTGTAGGAAGCCGATCTCTTTGTGCTATTTATCACCGATAAAAAAGTTTTTTTTTAACGATAATTTACTAACATTGTAATAAGATACAGGTCGAAAACTTAAATGTTGCAGGAAATTTACTAAAATTATATTTTTAGAATCCCTAGATTCTTCTTCTTCTTCTTCTTCAGCCTGTATTCGTCCACTGCTGGACATAGGCCTCTTCCATTTGCTTCCATCGATTTCTACTTTTGGCAATTCTCATCCACTGCTTGCCCGCGACTTGTTTGATATCGTCTGTCCACCTCTTCTGCGGTCTGCCTACTCCTCGCCTGTTCTCTCTCTAGATTAGGTTACATCCCTAGATTAGGTTACGTATTCTACTGCTGATTGCATCTTGAATGATCTTGAATGTTTTTGTCGGTGCTAAACATTGATGTGTCTAGATCCTACTTGTTATGTTAGTAATATCGATATAATTAACCACTGTCACTGGCTAATTGGCTATGCCAAAGCCATTATACAATAAAAAAAAAACCACTGTCACTAATATTGCAGAATGGTTATTTTTGCCTTGACTATTAGAAGTTAAAAGACTTTTCAAGTTTGTTTGTGGATCTCGTCTTGCACCTTAATATTCGTGGTAATTGGTATTCTTATATACACAGTAAACGAGACCAGTACTTTCAATAATTTGTCTTATAGTGATGGATCAGGGGAAGTTTTTAAGAGTTTCTTGTAGTAGCTTTTTTGTGATCACCACTTGCATGTTCTCCTATACATGACTGTCTACTTAAACGAAGATAAGCGAGCTCTATCGAATGCGAGCATCTACTATAGACATGTTTAGCAAGTTCAGATTTTTTACATGAATCTATTCACAGCAGGTTTTCTTTTGTTTATAGATTATTGTATTGTTTTATAAATGGGTCCAGGTCAGCACAAATGAGTCCAAAACTCATCTTTCAAATTTTGTTTTGAGAAACTTTCACTTTTCTTTGTCTATTTTCTATTCTTAACTTGGTTCGTAACATACCTTTCATGATGGTCTGAATTCTTTCTCTATGTTAAGGTTTTCTATATATATTTAAGTTTTTAATTAAGGTGGTTTCGTTTTTTGCTTTAGTGCATTCTCTTTTCTTCTCTTCTCTTTGTCTGGTAATTCTCTACAGTTGTTCTAGTTATAATGATAATTTTATAAATATAATTTCTTGATTTTTTACTATATGATCACAATTATTTATCGAAATCATTTTATACTATGATATTTTTAGGATGATGTTCTTTTTTGGAGCCCTAATGACGTCCCAAATTTTAGTATTAGAGAAACACGAAGGTATTTGGGATAGGTCTATTGTAGCCGGTGTAACTGCAGTGGAAATGACTTTCTCCCATTTGTTCTTTCAAGCGATTATCGCAGTAATCCAAACCATGGAAATGATAATAGTTATTTATGTTATTTACGAGTACAAATATATTGGAAGCATGTGGTTAATGTACTTGATTGCTTATTTTCAAGGAATTTGCGGTATGAGCTATGGTAAGTTATTTCTTTAATGGGCCAGATATTTTTTTGGGTTTTTTTTACTTTGTTTTACTAATTGTTGTTGTTAGGGTGATAACCTCGTCTTCAGACCAGGTTAGCGTAAGGTTTCTTACAGTTTATTAGCTCTTACCTTTTCAATGCCACAAGCATAATTTAGTTTTTTACTTCTTTTTTAGGCTTGTTTGTTTCGAGTGTCAGCACAAACCAAATGATGTCCTCTAACGCAGTGATGGGATTTTATCTTCCATTAATCATCATCAGTGGTACGTTATTTTAGTTGTAAAAAAATACAGTTCATCACATTACTATCAGAAAGATTTAATCTAAAAACCTATTCACGGAATGCTATCAATTTAATTATAGATACACATTTTCAGGTGAAAAAAAAAAATACAACAAACATTACAAACTGATGAATACAGGCATAAGTTGTTAAACAAAATAAATGTTTAAGCCTTTTCGTTTGAAATATTTAATTATTTTACGAAGCTTACATGAATTTTTTATGCATTTGACTGATCTATTTTGTTATTTTAGGTATTATTTGGCCCGTAGAGGGTATGCCAAGCGCACTTCAAATTATGTCGAGGCTATTTCCTTGTACCATGGCCGTTGAAGCTTTCGGTAACGTTGTCCATAAGGGATTGAAAATTAACGATATTAAAACTATTCAAGGACTGTCGATATCTTTGATTTGGGGTGTCATTTTTGTACTAATTACTTTGTTTTTCTTGAAGAGACAAAGATAACAAGTGGACTATACTATATAGATATTAGAAAAAAAACATATTTGTACCTATTTACTTATTTTTATAAATTAAAATTAAAATAGTAAAAAACGTTTTTTATTTTCGTACACATGAAGCTTTAAGTATGTTTTATTTCAAGCTGTTAACAAGTTTGCAAATCGTTAAAATAAAATGATACAAGGTATAAAAGAATCTAAGTGTTATAATGCCGGAATGAGCAATCCACCATTTACCTACTGGCCAAAGGCTTCGGGCGGATGAGCTGGTAAGTGGAAGGCCTCTATGTTGTCCTGTGATTGAAAAATTGGTCTCAAAGGCGTAACAACCAAGGAAGTGATCAATGGTATCAGAATGCAAAAGACAACGAGAAACCACTGAATTAAAGGTTCCTGACAACATATCTAGTACAGCTAGCCTGCCAAACACAACTCAAGTGAAAACAGCTACTAATCATGGAATACGGAAGCCAAGATTCGGAAGAGGAGGTGATCCATCTCTAAATCATAGGGCCTTCTAGGTCGTAACCCAAAGAAACGTCTGTTACAGAACTAAAAAAGTGTCTCTAAAAACTTCGGAGTTTATTAAAATATGTACCTGAAATATGCAGACAATGTATCAGGCTGAAAAACTTCATAATACCATTAAACAAATGACTAGACTTGGAGTAGGTATAATGGGCATATATAAATGAGGTGGCCAAATAGTGATGCTTGTATTGTTGACAACCTTGTGGTATACCACTCGGGAAATGATGACGGTCAACATATATATGGGGTTGGAGTAATCGTATCTCCTCAATTACGTCAATACGTTACAAATGTTATACCTGTTTTAGAAAGATTACTAATAATCTAACTGAATACTGCTTCGGTCAAATTAAATGTTTTACAAGTATATGCTCCAACCAGCGATAAACTAGAAGAAAAGCGATAAACTAAAAGAAGAGATACAACAATTATATGAGTAATTTACTTGAACAAATTAAAAAAGAAGATGTAACTTTTATTATTATCATCAATCAGCCAATTGCATCCACTGCTGGACATAGGCCTCCCTCAATTTTTTTCAGTGTTCTCTACACTGGGCCGCTTGTAGCCAGTTTCCCGCTACATGATTTATATCATCGTTCCATCTAGTCGGTGGTCGTCCTCGGCTTTTTTTTTATAGTTTCTGGGCCTTCATTCCATAATACCGTCCATCTTGTGTTCTGGCTAAGTGCCCTATCCAGTTCCACTTAAGTGTCGTGGTTCTTATGATGACGTCTTGAATTCCTGATCTTTGCCTGATTTGTTGGTTTGTTATGTGGTCTCGAAGGCTCACGTTCAACATTGCACGTTCCATGTCTCGTTGTGTAACTCGTTGTTTATTCGCAGATTTTTGCGTGAGTGTTAAAGTCTCTGCTCCATAAATTTGTACAGGCAAAACATATTGGTTATAAACCTTTTGCTTGAGACACATGGGAATTGAACTTTTTAGAATATGGCTTAATTTGCCAAATGCTGTCAGGCCTATTCGCCTCTGTATTTCATGTGTTTAATTGTCTCTTATGTGTGTGTGCTTATTTTGATCTCGTGTTCCAGATATTTGTAGGTGTTTGTTTATTGTATGGTATTATTGTCAATAGTTATATTTCCACTTACTACTAGATTTGTCATAAGTTTAGTTTTCTCAAAGTTTATCTTTAATCCTGCTCTTTCAGACAGACTTTTAAGCGAATGTATCATAGAAACTGTATCTGCGATTAATACATCATCTGCAAAACTAAGATTATTTAATCTTTCTCCATCTATATTGTTACCTATATCTTGCCATTGAGTGTTCTTAAATATTGACTATAGAGCGGCCGTAAAGAATTTTGGTGAAATATTTTCTCCTTGTCTGACTCCCCAACCTAAGCTGAATTTTTGTGTACCTGTAATCTATTCGGTTTTGATTTAGGGCTCTCAGTACTATATCAAACTCTACAGAATCAAAAGCCTTCTCGTAATTAACAAATGCAAGAACCAGTCGTATGTTGTACTCGATGCACTTTTCTATTAAGATTTTTATGGTATGCAAATGGTCATTTGTGCCATATCCTGCCCTGAAGCCTGCCTGTTCTTTGGGCTGATAGAAATCAAATTTAGGTGTTAGTCTCTTTGTTAAGATTTTCATAAAGAGTTTGTACATATGTGTCAAGAGGCTGATAGGTCTATAATATTCTAATTTCGTAATATCGCCTTTTTGTGTAACAAGACTATCACTGCATTGTGCAAGTCTTTTGGAATCGTACCTGCATGTAAGCATTTATTAAACAGTTCGCTTACTGATTTTAATAGAATTTCTCCTCCTGCTTTTATTGCCTCAATAACGAGTCCATCATCACCAGTAGATCAGAAGTAATTCTGATCCCTGATTTATGTCAGGTCTTTACTCATGTCGGGAAATTGTCTTGTGGTCTTTGGCTGGTATAGAGTTCTTTATAAAACTGTGTGGTTATTTTCAGAATATTTTGTCTTTTTTACTTTGTGAGAGTTTTCTTTTGATTATTTTTAAACCTGTGTTCTCTTCTACTGTTTGAGTAATTACATTAGTAGTATTATATCTTCTTACATCTTTTCTAATTTCTGCTGAAATTCTTTTATTTAGTTTTTTATATTCTTCTTTGTTTCCCTTTTTGTTCTTGCTTAGGTTTCGTCGTATTTTCATGAGAGCTTTTGTATCTTTGCTAATCTTTTAATTTGTGGTGTCATTTTTCTTGTAAAATTTGAGTTGTGCGTGTCTTAAGGAGTCTGTTATTAATTTATTGTGATCGTCGATACTTAGAGGTTTGGGATTATTACTCTGTAAAGTTTCGGCTATATTTTTTATGTATGCTTCTGGCTGATTTGGGAATTAATTTCAAACTATGCGTTTGCAGTTGTTTACTATCTGGTGTGTTGTCGCTTCCTACTGATAATTTATTGAGTACAGTGACATCTTGAATGATTTGCTTTTTGTCTGTTATTATATAATCATATTCGCTCTTAGTTCTTCTGTCTGGACTAGCCCACGTCCATTTTCTATTCTGTTTCTTCTTAAAAAAGGTGTTCATTGCATACAGTTTGTGTTGCAGTAGAAAGTTGGTAAGTATTTCGCCTCTTTCGATTCTTAATCCGATTCCAAAATCTCTGATTGCCACTTTTTGTTCGTTCTTTTTTCTTCTGAGTTTCCCGTTAAAATCTCCCATTATCAGATTGCAAGGAGCCGGTTCCTGCTTGTTTTGCTCTTTCGATTTCCTCATAGAAGGCTTCAACAATTTCATCTTCGTAATCGCCGGTTGGGAGCGTATACCTGGATTATTTTCAGATTGTATCTCTTATTTAGTCTTAGATTTATATACATAACTCTTGGGGAAATGCAGTCAATGCTCTGTATATTTTTCTGTAATTTTTTGTGTACTAATAAACCTATTCCTCCAGTTGTCGATTCTGTTTCCCCTTTATAGTGGAATATGTTGCCCGATTTTAGTTTGATCTGATCTTCACCTCTTCTTTTAACTTCGCTAACTCCTAGAATATTCCATTTCACATGTTTGAGTTCTTCCCCCAGTTCCGTCATTTTTTCATCCTTAGATAAGGTTCTTACATGATACGTAATTATGTGCAGCGTTCGTCGTTCTTGGTAGCCTCCTACAAATCTGGGATTCTTCGCACCCTCTATCGCGCCCGCTATTCATGAGTCATACCGCTACCTTGGTTGGGAACTAGCGAGCTGTTGGGGACTGAGGTCCATTTTCTTGAATATCTGTTCATGCTGAGGGGCTTTGGCTTTTAAACACTACGCTTGCCAGCAGGCCCGGCTCAAGACGAAATTTTCACCCGGGCAAGGATCTTTTGAGTCGCCCCCCCCCTCCTAGTAAAAACCCCTATAAAAACAACAACAATCAGCTGTTTTTAAGTTTGCAACACTTTTTGAGTAACTGCTGATTTTAAGACCTTTGATAGCCCCACTGTAAAATGTTCGTGTTAAATCAACACAGCATGACATCACAGGATGTTAACATCTTTTGTGTGTGTCATATGATATTGACACCGTCTGTGTGTAATTTGGACACCAACTGTGTGTTATATTGACACCGTATGTGCATATGACACACAGACGGTGTCAATTTGACACTCACAAAAAGTGTGTAATACCATATAAATGTAATTGGATAGTAAATCAACGCCACTTTTTTACATAAGCGTTGTATATTTTGCACAGTGTCAGTTAAAGAAACATAAGACTTTGGACACAGTTTGGACGTAAAGTATATTTACATTATATTTAAAAATATTAGTATATAAAGAACAATGAACAATAGCCTGGTGTCAATGATGTAATGATGTAATTTAGTCTGTTAGGCTTCTGTAAGTATTGCAAGTCTAGTTTACAAAGGCAACTTTACGAACTTTTTTTTCAGCAAAGTCCTTAATGCTGTTGCTTAAATCAAGTCGTTGTAATACATCATATTCTATAGACATAAGTGCCAGTCCTACTAGCCGTTCTTGGGACATAGTGGATCTTTAGTAGTTTTTAATTAACTTAAGTTTAGAAAAGCTTCTTTCTCCAGATGCAACACTTACTGGAAGAGAAAGAAGAATTCTTAGAGCTACACAAACGTTTGGAAGTTCTCACTTAAAGAATGTGATGAAATAAATTTCAAAATGTCCTTTAGTTTATCTCCACAATCTCCACAAATGGTAGAACTGTTTTGAGCACTAAGAGTTCCTGATACATCTGGTGTCCTTCAACATCACGGTGCTCTCCATCAGTTAGAGATATCTGCAGGTCTGCACATTTAGTCATTAGAGTATTGATGTCTTCTCTTTTCAGTTTGTAAAGAAATCCAAACGTGTCATTGTTGGTGGATAACTGAGAAAATCTCTCTTCAAGTGATGCGATTGTTGTGTCCAAAATGTAGAGGTAACATTTACTTCTGAAGTTTAGTTTTGGATCCACAACTGCTTCATCTCGTACCTCATCATCAAATTGGCGCTTGACTCTCCTTGGTCGAACTTGTTGTTCAGAAGGGAAGGATGGTTCAACTTCAAGGCTTTCTGCTACTTCTCGAGCATCAACAA